GGGGTTGGCCCGGCAAGGGTTAGAAGTTTGTTTCAAGAAGCTAGGCAATGTGCACCTAGCATCGTATTCATTGATGAAATCGATGCTATTGGCCGGGCTAGGGGTCGTGGTGGTTTCTCAGGTGGTAATGATGAGCGTGAGAGTACATTGAACCAGCTGCTTGTTGAGATGGATGGATTTGGAACAACTACTGGTGTGGTTGTTCTGGCGGGAACTAACAGACCAGATATTTTAGACAACGCCTTACTAAGGCCTGGTCGTTTTGACCGCCAGATTAGCATAGATGCACCTGACATTAAAGGTCGAGATGAGATCTTTAAAATCTATCTGCAAAAGATTAAGCTTGATCATGAACCATCATATTACTCTCAGAGACTGGCAGCCCTTACTCCTGGATTTGCTGGAGCAGATATTGCAAATGTTTGCAATGAAGCTGCTTTAATTGCCGCAAGACATGAACAAGCACTTGTAAAAATGGAACATTTCGATGCGGCTATAGACAGGATCATTGGTGGTTTGGAGAAGAAGAACAAGGTAACTCCTTAAATTACATATTCAAGTACATCAGATATCCTTTTCAGAAAAAAGATATTCTTCCCCCTTCCCTCCCCAAACTATTGTAAGAGAATAATTAACACTCATCCAGTCAACCCTACACCATCTTGGCTTCATAATGTTCATTATGGAGTTCAACTGCTTGAGCAACCTTGAGAAAAATATAGACGGTGTTTTTGAAAAGAATTTAAGCAAAACCTGTACTCCGACTGAAAAAAGAGTATTGTTGCTCACATTTATTTTGTCCTAAAAAAAGAGTGATCAAATGAAGATAAATTTTCAGAAAAAATTTGTACATGCAATGAATTTTCTTAAGCCTGAAATAAAGTTTAAAAATATCTAAGTAGGATCTACGGTAATTCTACCATACCAGAATTAAAAAATTCTGTTGTGGCCAAATGTGACTGTTCTTTTGGGATGGAGGCAGTAATAGTTTAACATTCAGCAGACCAAAAGTTTGATAAAGAGTGCTATGAGTGTCACTTTCTCACTGTGAAAGGGTCTAATGACTATGACTCTCATGAGAAGCCAACTTGTGTTCTATTAATGTATGTATATGCAACTAGCACCTTTATCAATCCTAGTATAATACGGAGTAATATAAATAATGATTCAATGTAGTAATATAAATAGTGGACTAAATCAAAATGGAACATCAAACTTCCATTGTTTTTTACTTTCTATGAAATCTTGGGCAGTAAATGCATCAAGGGTCTAAGAGCAACAGTCTCTCTGTTTTTTACAGGGGTAAGGTTGTGTACATCTTGACCCCCAGACCCAATGAAGTTGGTATTTTACTGTGTTTGTTGTTGGATTCAATGAATACTTATATCTGAACAGGTAATAAGCAAACTCGAACAAAAAACTGTTGCATACCACGAATCAGGCCATGCAGTAGCTGGATGGTTTCTAGAACATGCAGAGCCCTTGTTGAAGGTTACAATTGTTCCTCGTGGTACTGCAGCACTTGGCTTTGCCCAGTATGTCCCTAATGAGAACCTCCTCATGACCAAAGAGCAGCTTTTTGACATGACATGCATGACACTTGGTGGCCGGGCTGCAGAGCAGGTAGAAATTGTTTTCAATGCAAGAAATCTTGTTGCAAATCTTAGCATGGTGTTCCTATGAGCCTGTTTGGGATAATTGCAAGTGCTTTCTCATTTAAACACCTAATTTATGTGTGTTTTAAAAGAAAAATACTAATCATCTGATTTGTTCAATAGGAGCATTGGAACTTAGAAGTACTTCTTTTAAAAAGTTGGATGCACTCTTTCAATTCTTTTTTTAAGTAAAGCACTTTTCATCTTCAAAATGCGCTAATTGCTTGATAGTGTCATTAACTATACTATCTAGCCTCCAAAGTGCTGCAACGGCTGCCCCGACTCTTTATATATTCCATCTCATACCTTCATTTGTACTTTAATTCATTGTTGAATATTCTACTACAGGTTATGTTTTAACTGGTTCCCTTTTTTGGCTTAAGGTTTTATTGGGTAAAATCTCGACGGGCGCACAAAATGACTTGGAGAAAGTAACAAAAATGACATATGCCCAAGTTTCTGCTTATGGGTTCAGCGAGAAAGTTGGACTGGTCTCTTTTCCCAAGGGTGACGGTATGAGCAAGCCTTACAGTAACAAAACAGCTTCAATAATTGATGGTGAAGTTCGAGAATGGGTTGGGAAAGCCTATGAAAAGACAATCCAGTTGATAGAAGAACACAAGGAACATGTAGCCCTGATCGCGGAGCTCTTGCTCAAGAAGGAGGTCCTTCACCAAGATGACTTGGTCCAGGTTCTTGGCGAACGCCCTTTCAAGTCTAGCGAGACAACAAATTATGATATCTTCAAGCAAGGTTTTCAGCAGGAATCCGAGAGTGAAAATAAAGGCGCCGATGAGGAGAACGGTTCACCCTCATCCCATATTGAACCAGATGCCGCCACTGCTTGACACCAACCACAATGTTATGTATGCATGCATGTACATTCTCTGCTATATGGAACCCAGAATCTATCTCATGGTAAAACTCAAAATGGCTCTAACTGCATTGATAGAGTGGCTGCCAACCTGATCAACCAACCTTGTTTCTCAAACTATGTTTATAATGGTGTTGCTGAATGCTCTGCCTGCAGCTTAAGGATTTCGAATTTTTAATTCTGCATTCCTCTCTCCACACATCGCCCTGATCGGCGTCATATCTCTCTGTTATCGGGAAGCTTTAATCTGATATGTGCATATTTCATTGACAGCTGGGGGAGGGTTGTATTCTAAGTCTGGCTTGTGTACATTAATTTATTTGCAGCTTGCTACTTCCATTTTGTAGTTGCCAACCACACTAAGAGGTCAAAGTACTTAGTGAAGTGACAAGTTTTCTCTTATGTGGGACTAAAAATAAAAAGTTTATGGATTTAAATACCACGAATGCTTCTTCAATCTCTTAAAGAATCTCAGACATTATTCACTTCTAAGTCCTAACCATAAGTTTTTGCCCCATACCGGTGCATTGCCAACAGTCCAACACTATAGACCCCAAATTTATTGGATTTTAGGGTTAAGATATTTGATCCTAGAGTTAACTAAATTTGATGTGCACTTAAAGGGGTGTGTGCTAAGTTTGGGTCAGGCCGAGGTTGGAGGATTTACCGGGCTTTAGGATGGGTAGGAATTGCCACTTTAGATGAGGGTCATCATGATATGACACCCACCTGAATGGTTCTGTCAATATAACTCCTCCCAAACAAAGATCAATAATACATGATTTGTTTTGAATATTTTTAAACTTTGTGAAGTCAAATGGTGAAATCTTTACATGATAGAATGATCTCACTTTTTATATATTGAAAAAGATTGTTCCACGCTTGTTTTTATTTGTTCAGAAATAATGTGCGTTGTGTTAATATATTTTTTCAAACTTTCAAATTCTATCTGGTCATATATGTATGAATACTCATTCGTTCCAAAGTAAAATTTCATATCGAAACGATTAATAAAAAAACTAAGAGCATGTAAGTGAACATTAAGCAATTGAACTAAATAATGTGAGCTGAACAACCGGTGGATAGCTTCAGAGTTACATGTGATTGAGGAAATGAGCACCAATACTTCTGCTTCTTCAAAATTTACTTACTTCCTCCGTCCCACTATTTTTGTCTACTTACCTTTTGGCACACCATCCAATGCACTTCTTTAATCCATTTTATCTTGTAATTTGTATATTAAAAAATTATAAAAATTATATATTAATAATCTATATGTTAAGACGAATCAAACAAGATCACACATGACTATTTTTAGGCTTACACATTAAAAGAATTTGATGAGTCAAAGTACTTAGATGAACAGTTCCAAAAGTCAAAAGTGGACAAAGACAGTGGGACGAAGGTAGTATATAGTAATTTCCATGGTTTGAAATGTTGCTTCTATGCCCACTGCGTCGATTAATTTCCAGCATGCATTTCACGCTGCACGAGTGAGACTGAAGTTTGATAATAGGGGCATTGATGTCTATTTTCCAAAATACCAGGGACACACCGAACCCATTTTCCCATTTTCTGTTCTTTTTATAATTTGTACTCTTTAATTTCACTTTTTTCTTTACTTTGTTTCCTTTTTCGTAAAATTTTTTAATTTCATTTTTTAGATATAATTTTTATAACTTCTTCCGTCCCAAAATGTAAGCAACAATTTCTATTTCGGTGTCTCGATAACTTTTGTTTGTTTACTCGTTTTAGTTAAGCGTTTGATAAAATTAATTATTTTTTGTCTGATCTTGTATTATAGAACTTTTGATCTATTTTTAAACGGTGCAATTTTTACTTTTTATTTCTCTACCAATTTGTAAATAAAATGAATTTAAAAAAGATGATATTTTGTACGTCGTTTGAAATGTTGCTTACATTTTGGGACGAATGTAGTATGTTTTAAAAATTCAATTTTTTTATGTCTGAAATGAAAAAATAAATCAAATGAAAAAAATTAACATGCACTTCATCTGTTTCAAATTAAATTTTTTATTTATTTGACCGTAGAACAATTTATTTTTAGTGAAAAATGAAATCTTATTTTAGGATGAATATTGATAAATGTGAAGCTTTTTTAAAATAATGTGAAAGCATTTAATTTAGGTCAATGTATATGGTTTAAAAGTACTCTATTGCATACTGTATAAAAATAGAAAAAAAATCCTATCCCATAAAAAATTTCCCTTGTAATTTTCCCGCATGAACTTTTGGAGAAAAGTATGGCAGAAGACATATAAAATGTAGGCCGACTTCACCCACTCCTCAAAGAGCTTCAATTCATTCCAATCTCATTCCTTCCTTCTTCTTCTTCCTCAGGTTCAATTCTTTACTCTCCATCTTCATCAACATTTGTTTCTTTAATTTCTTTAATTTTGTGTGTGTGGCTGTTAGGAGTACAAGTACAAGTGTTCTTATTTCTCTTAGAAGTTGAAAGATGTTCTTTTTCTCCCTTTTCCGCAAATCCATTTAGGTACTTCAGCAATGTTAGGTGTTTGTATTGATGCAAAAAGTCAAACTTTTGCCTTTTTCTCTTTACTGATCTGGAGTAATCTAATGCATTCTCAGATATTTCATAGCTCACAGCCTTGTTCAAATTCCAATTTGTTTGGGGAATGATCTATATTTGGTTTGATAGAATTCGGAGCTGAGGTTTTTCTGCAATGGGGATAGAAGTCTGAGTTTCTGGATTCAAGTTGTATGAGTTTTGTTGATAAATGTGTCTTGAAATCCAATTTAATTGTCTGGGCTTGAAGATAGTTTTTCTTGGTTAATTTTGTGGGAAATCGATTCATTTTTTAGCCGTATATGCACATTTACAAGTAAATCTTTTGGTTTTGACTGATTACTTATTATGCATTCTTGCTCTTGATCAGACATTTTCTGCTCATAAAGATTTCTACTTGCTCTTGACCAGACATTTTCTGCGCACAAAGATTTCTTCTTGCTGTTGACCAGGTATTTTCTACACAATAAAGATTTATTCTTTCTCTTGGATAGGCTTTTTCTGTGCATAGAGATTTTGTCTTGCTCGTCTGATGTTCATCTTCTATGTCATTTTATCTTCTTAGGCTAAAATGGATCGTGAGGATTGCTTTCAAGAAATTTCGGAGCGAAAATATGAATGCCTACTTTTTGGTGATCTGTTGTTTACATTTTTATTCTACATAAAAAAGAAATGGTTATTTCAGTTGACTTACACCATTTTTTTTTGGAAATTTCCAGATGTTGATGACACCCTCTACCCATTTAGTTCTGGTATTTCAGCTCAATGCACTTTGAACATAAATGGTAACTATCACCTTTTCTTGATTCCACCTTTTTGTGTAGAGGGTAGGTTTGCGTACATCTTAGACCTCGTTCGGGTACAATATTTTCAATTAGTGTTAGGGTTTTTGGATCTTTTTTAATAGTGAAAAATCAACTTTGAAAACGTCAAAGCTAAACATCGCCGTTAAATAGCCTTTCCAAACTGCTAAAGTTAAGGGCTGAAGATGTTTCCAAACGGGCACTAGTCTTGAGTGGGATATATTTGTCTTGTTTGGTTTGATTTGGTAATCATGATTGCACCGGGCTAATTTTCAATACTTGATATGTATTATAGAATACATGATTGAAAAGCTTGGTATTGAAGCCACCAAAGTTCCAGAAATGTGTGTGCAACTTTACAAGGACTATGGAACAACAATGGCTGGTTTGAGGGTATGATCTATTCAGTTTCAGCCCCCAATTATAAACTTATAAGAAGTAGAAAACAGTTTTTTTTTTTGTGCAAAAGTTAAGAACAGGTTAAGTTAATGAGAACCCTATAGCTGAAAGCTGACTAGTTTAAGTTACATTTTCTGCTATTCAGGCCATCGGCTATGACTTCGATTATGATGAGTACCACAGGTATCAGTCACTTCATCCTCTATCAGTGGGCATGTTATCTAAGTGGAGTGACAAGCACCTGATTTTACTTATTTGTCCTCAGCTTTGTCCATGGGCGATTGCCTTATGAGCTCTTAAAGCCAGATCCTGTTCTGAAGAATCTCTTACACAGCTTGCCTGTCCGAAAAGTTGTGAGTTCCTCGCGCACTATATTTATGGGAACCATAAAAGCTGCAATTGTGTCATAAGCTATGAATGTGTTTCAGATATTTTCGAATGCAAATGAAGCCCATGTGGCCATGGTCCTAAGCCGATTGGGTCTTGAGGATTGCTTTGATGATATTATCTGTTTCGAGACTCTGAATCCCCCTCGCCCCAGTAGTGCACCACAAGGCCTGAATAGTAATGGTAAGAGAAACAACTTGAAATGCCACAATCAAACATTGTACTCTATCTGTTCCAAGATAACTGTCCATGAAGGAACCAATGACGCGAAGCAGGCCTAAGTTGCCTTCCCATATTTATTTCACCTTTTCTTCCTATTTGCAATGGCTAAAAATCGAAAGGGGCATGCAAACTTACAGGATTTCCCAAGTCTCCAGTTGTATGCAAACCATTCGAAGAAGCCTTTGAAAAGGCTTTCAAAATTGCTGATATCAATCCCAAGCGCACGGTATGATTCATCCTGTCCTTTGCCAGTTCAACTTTATATTGCCCTACAAAGGCGTTTAGTAATAATAATGTGTGTTTTGTAATGCCACCAGCTGTTTCTTGACGACTCCATCCGAAACCTGCAGACAGCGAAACACACTGGTCTCAACACAGTGTGGGTAAGTTGACTGTGGTTCTTCTAAAAAGCCATTTCTTTTTTGTTCGTTCGTTCTTTTTTTGGGTTCAAAAGCAGACCATGATCATCTACGGTCATATTTTCTTGAATGAACAGGTGGGGGGCTCGCATCCAACAACGGGAGTGGATTATGCTCTAGAGAGCATCCACAATATGAAGGAGGCGCTCCCAGAGATATGGGAAACGGCTGTAAAGACAGATGATATTCGCTATTCAGAGAAAGCTGCAATTGGAGTCCAAGCTTAAATAAGAACAGATGCCTCCCATGTTTCTATCTTTGTTTATTCCTTTGGTTAGGAAAAATACTGAAAAATAATTGAAGGAAACATTGTGTATGAAGACTGCATTGTTCATTTGATCTACCTATTATACACATCATGTTCTAAGTGTACCAACTGATTATTTATTTATTTATATAAAATTTCTTCATCCCTTGTGGCTCTATAGTTGGCTCTATGGATTGTCTAAAATATTATAGTGATTAAGTGCGATTGTTGATATGAATGTGTGGCAAACTATTTGGAGCACTTAATTGTTTGAGTAAATTGCAATAATATTTCCTAATTACAGTGGTTTTTTCATATTTGACCTGAAGGACTATTTATGAAATGCTCCGTAGTTTTAACAAATAAATATCATTTCTGTAATATCTTATAATTCAAGAGTAACTATGGAAAAATCTTTGCAATTCGAGACTATTTATGAAATTTGTTCTAGTCGTTTTAATCCCATTTTTTAAACATGAGTGTTTTAAATAAGTAGAAAATTAATATGGGACATGATAATTAAACATCACAGTTTGACATTAAATTTTAAATTTTAATGTTACATTATATCATCGAATCTCTACGGCACTCCATTGAGGCCGAAAGTGCTTCATACCCTCACTCAAGAGCACGTTTTCCCGGTTAAGGCTCGTAAATAATGATTTTTGCATGTTTTCTTTGTCTCCCAACCGCCTATCCAATAAACACACTTATGATAAGCAAAAAGAGTCACGAGATAGACACATGCTTATTCAAAAGGGGCATAGGCCGTTGTGGACTATACCATCTCCGACATCAGTTTCAAACTGATAAAACAAATATAATACTCCCTCCGTTCTACAAAACACTCCATTTTTTATTTTATTCTCTTTCTCTTAGATATTTCCACTTTCTATTAAAAAATCACTTTTACTCCTGTTTTTTCTTACCCTACTTATCACTTTATACTTTTTCTCTAATAATTTATCCATCACATTTTACTTTTACCCACCACATCAAGGATAAAATTAGAAGACAACTACTCCGTATAATTTAACGCTTCCTTATTTTATAACTAGACTCGTACCCGTGCGTTGCAAGGCCTAATTATAAACTATATAATTAGGGAAAGCATTTATGAAAGAAAATGATAAAATTCAATTATAATAACATATAATTAAATAATAAAAAAATTGTAAATACTATACATGTTCATCATGAAAGATCAATTCCATTAAATCTCCTCCTCTTGCCCAAGCCAAAACAAAATAGACGCGAACAGCTCGTAGCATAAGCATCTAAGTGGTTCGACAATTGTCAATCTCGGCAAGCGCATTCGACATACTCTTTAAATGTTTTGAGACATTTTTTGAAAGTGGACCGAATTGGAATGAGAGGTATGAAATGTTTGGAGTATAAGTAGTATATATAATTCGACAATCAATCTACTCATTAAATATCTTGATTTAGTGAATTCTATTTCTTTAATGTGATTTAACAAAAAGTATGCATAGAGTCATGCACCAATTTTACTACGCATGCGGTTTCATAGCAATACAATACCATTTATTTATTTTGAGTTGACATAAAGTTTGCATCGAGCCACGGACCAACTTTACTATGCATGCGGTTCCATAGCAATACACTACCCATTTATTTATTTTGATTTGATATAAAGCTTGCATCGAGCCACGCACCAACATTACTACGCACGCGGTTCCATATCAATACACTACCTATTTATCTATCTTGATTTGACATAAAGTTTGTATCGAGCCACAGACCAACATAATTATGCACGCGGTTTCATATCAATACACTAATCATTTATTTATTTCGATTTGACACAAAGTTTGGAAAATGAAGCTATCAATCCATCCATTAAATGCTTGAAAATAGAAAAAGTATAAATTAAATGGATTTTGACATAAAGCACATTGAGCAATGAGATAGATTTGACATTACTTTTACTTTATGGAGAAATGCACTCATGATTTGATCTGAAGATATTCAAGCTAGCAACCGCGTCAGTCAACCCACTTGGCCCGGTCCATACCCGAATTCACTACTCGTCATTCTATCCACTTGGCCTGGTCCATACTCGAACTCACTACCCGATGATTTTGGCGGGAACACTATTCCCAAAACCATCCTAACATTGTATATAGTAGGGCATAGGATACAACTTGGTCAAAATTAGAATTGTTTTCGAGAACTGAGTAATAAGAGCATCTCCAACTGATGGGTATATCCATATACCCGACCCGGATAACCAAAAGGGACAGGTCAAAATATGACCGGTCACCTTTATCAAGTCACCAAATGATGTTAACTCTTCGATTGGGACGGGTCAAAAATTGACCGGTCATTTCCACTAAAAAAGTGATCGGTCACATTTGGGGCGATAACCAATTCGTCACTTAATGTTGTGAAGGATATTCTAGAGGACCAAAGAGATGGGTTGAACTCAAGAAATGACCGGGTAACCTTTGAGGAAATGTGATCGGTCAGGTTGCGCTACTTGAGAAGGGCAATCAACATCACAGGCTAGGGGACACCCCGCCGCTCATCCATCACGAGGCAAACAGCGAAGGGAATGATTGGCGTTTTGCAGGATTGATTGGATTGAGAATATCCATGTTATAGTCTTTGATTGAACAGTGCATGTCTTGGCTTGTAGTTGCTAGATTCATTGATTGAATAGTAAATTGATTATGTACAGTGACCTTCTTCCGGGTTTCCCATTTTGTCCATGGATGAACAGGGGGAGGTCACAAATCCTCCTCTATAAATATAATGATATTGGATAGAGGAGGATCCATTCTTTCTCTTACTAAAAACTAGTACACTCTTGAGACAGAGTAAGAAATATATTTCGGACTGAGGAGATTTACCCGGTCTAGGTTATACTTTGTGTTCTTGTTGTGTATTTTATATTACGGGTCGAGTGTCCAGGTCAAACCCGGTCAACCCACCCATCTATATTTACACCATCACCAACCATAGCATTTTAGCTTGCTAAAAGTTATAATATAACTAGTTAAAACCTTTTGTTCTTCTCCAAATGGTATGCTTTATTTTAGCAAGTTTGTCATAAAATGACTTTAGCTTGCTAAATATAACAAGTCTCTCAAACTTTAGGAAGTCAATACTTTAAAAAATTAAATAGCAAATTATGGTTGGAGAGTGAAACAAAAAAGTGTTTGTTATACCACTATTCACTTGCTATAATATAAAAATAGCAAATCCATATAAGAAACATGGTTGGAGATGCTCTAAGGAGTACAGAGTATTACTATTGTATAAATCTAATTGATAGAATTTAGGATGTGTATGGACAACTGGAATGAGCTATAAGACACTTGGGTTGAACCGTATTAAAAGATTGAATCCAATCGATTAGTTAGTTCAACTCAAGGGCTTATATACCAGTTTATTTCCTCTTCAAGTTCCGATGTGGGATACTCTTTAACACTCCCCCTCAAGTGGATAACCGGGCCATTTTGAATCTAACCGGTTGACCACTTGCAAATGGACTCCCATCCCCTTAACTTTTTTTTAACGCCAACACCTAAATAACCACGAGCCGCTGGGTATGGACTTCCAGACGAGCAATCGTGTTAACCGGGCCACAGGTCGTTGGGTACATACTCTATACGGACAACTGGGCTAAAGACAAACGGGCCGCTAGGAATGAACGTCTAGACGGACACCTTGACAAACGAGGTGAGATAAAACTGGTTCTGATACCATGATAGAATTTAGGATGTGTATGTACAACTGGATTGGGCTTTAAGACACTTGAGTTGAACCGTATTAAAAGATTGAATCCAATCGATTAGTTAGTTCAACTCAAGGGCTTATATACCGGTTTATTTCCTCTTCAAGTTCAGATGTGAGATTCTCTTTAACACTAATCAATATTAAAATCCAATTCCAATTCAACTAATAAGAATGACTTAAAGAACAAGCCATACTGCTCCAACCCCCACACCTATCTATGGCAATTCTTTACAGTTCGTCTTTCATAACCCGCAGGCCAGTGAATTTCGTACGGAGTCACCGGAGATGCAAGCTAATAACCATTCATTGGATGTCTTCGGAGATCAGAATGGCTAAGCGCGAGCTATCCAGTACTTTGAAAACATTGAAGGTAGAGATAAATGTGACCTAGAAGCATTGATGTTGCGAGTTTTCTTTTTGCCTTTTTATTTATTTATGAAATCCATACAAAATTGTGATATTCCTGAAAGCAATGGACTGGATTTACTTGAATCAATCCGGAATTACTCTTTATTTACGACACTTTAACTTATCTGCTCTACTGTGTGTCAGTGTGTGTGTGTGTGTGTGTGTTTGAGAAATTCTTATGGTAGACAAGGTACATTAACTCCTGGATTCTTTAGCTCCAAGACAGTTATTTTTATTATTGGGATGTGAGATTCGCTAATGATAGAAGTTGGGGTGTCCTTCATTGTAGTTTATGCAAAGGGCATCCAACAACAGAGGAGAAAGCTAAGGAGGCCGAAGACGTCTTGCCTGATGGTATCTTCACTTCTTCGAGTGCTCCCAAAAGATGGTGTAAGCAATTCTTTCTTCTGCATTTCTATAAGGAGTTACGGTGTCTATTTGATCTTATTCTAATTTGTAGGCAATGTAATGTCAAATCATCATAGTACTCCGTATTTTCCTTCTAAAGGCTTTTCTTTGCATCAAATTCCCATTCTTTTTTAGTATTCAGCATTTGGTTCTCACTGACTCTTAGTTTTGGATAGTTGGATAAGGGGATCAGAGTTTCATAGGGTGGTGGGCGGATCGGGGATTGGGGAATCAGAGTTTCATAAGCTTAATGAGTATAGTGGTTCCTCTTTTGGAAGCAATACATGGTAAGAGTTTTGAGATCTGGATGGGTATATGAAAAATCTGAAGAGAGAAAAATTATCTCCCTATTTTTAGGGAGCAGCTATATAGCGGTGGAATCTTTGTAAATGGAACAAGTTTGACAATAGTGGAAGGACTGTGACAGCATGACCAAATGTTTAACTTGAGTAATGGATTACCTCTTCTTTAGATGCAAACTTTAAGAACCACAGCATTTATAATTTTGTCAAGTATTCTAGTCCTTGAGTTTGGTTGGGGGTACTCAATACTTAAGGTCACACTATGAAAACATCTTCTGGAACTACAAGTGGAATAGTTTCTAATAGGTAACTTCATGTCTTTAGGTCAACTACAAATATAATTTGGTGATTATTGCTTGATTATTATGCAATAATTTTTTATGTATAAAATATCAACTAAAAAAGCTTTACAAACTAAAATATTATACAATAATTTTGACTTTAAGTCTAAATGTGGATTATGGTGAATTGATTCCTTGTATGGCACTTTAAGTTTCAAAACTCTTTAACTACTTATCTTTCAATATTACATTTGACCTAAAAGTTTGCCTTGTTAAGCTCTCCTAAGTTTCACATAAATTAGGCAATGAACTAAAAGCTTCAAAGTTCATGAAAGAGCTATTCTTGAGGAGCTAAAGTGTATGGTTTTTATTTGGCCAAGTAGTATCTCGTTGTTCTTTTTAGGTTTGTAGCTTAATATACATAGGGAAAATGAACTAAATAGGATTAAAACATAGCAAGGAAGACCTTCATGTTTTTATCCCAAAATAGGACCTGTAATGCCAACATATAATACCAAAAAATATTGTGGAATGCCAATATACAAAGCCACATTATCATAGTGCAATAGTCCTATTTTGAGGATAAAAACATTACACTCCTATTTGTGAGATAAGGGTTATGTTTTGCTCCTATTTGGGTGATTTCTTATTTACATGTAATATGATATCACTTTAGCATTCTTATCTCAAGGTTTCTTCTTCATTAATTTCATATAGATAATAGATTCCAACGTACCTAGCTCTTACATTTAACTGATTGCTCCAGAGAAAATGGGTCGAGTGAAGATGGACATGAGAAGTCAAAAGTCAACAACTCCAGCACAGATGCAAAGGGAGATAACAAGAGGAAGCAAGATGGCACTGTCTCAGATGTTCATTTGCAACACATAAGAATGGGCATGCTCATGAAGGACCATCGTCAGGTGGCAAGACAAAATCCCAGAAGCACCCAAAATGTGAAAAGATGGGTTTCAATGTCCTTAGGTCACCAAAGAATCAAAATAAAAAACAATAGGTAAAGGCTGATTCTTTTGCTCTTGGATAATTTGCTCTTGCCATGCCCTTTTATTAGTCAATGATAGTGTCATAGTGTGTTGTGCTATAAGCGTATGTGGACAGCCCTAAATGGGCCATTTTTCTTCACTTTAACCTTTTTAAGTTTTCTGTTTTGACGACGACGACCCCTTCTTACCATCATCACTGATGGAACAATGCAGGGGTCAATTTACATGAAGCAGCATCTTCATTATAATGTTTTTTGATTGTTAATGCAATTTGTGAGCTCAATACAAAGGAAATTATGCAGAAGCTTTATAAATTATTATGTTCTCAACTTTCATATATTCTCCTGTGAGTTTCTTAGGTGCATGGACGTTTTAAGTGTTAGCAATTCGTACTTGTGACCCTATCATATTATTGACTTGAACAAACGAACTTGGATTAAAACAAAGAAATTCTAGCTAGTTACTAGGCTTCCAACAGGAGACAGCATGAAGCACCTTCCCTTTCCATCCTTGCAACAACCAGTTCCCATCTTCATCCATGGTGAAATTCTTGTTGTACTCTGATTTCACTTTCTCCCTTACACCCTTGACAATCTCTTGATCAAGTGGCAGTGGCTGGAGCCCAGCTCTAATGCTTCTAAGCTGCCATTGCCTATACGTCTCTGGCCTTTCAACTCTCTCTGTTCCTTCACAAGCTATCACATTCATCATTTCTCTAGCTAGCACCGTTCCCTCAAAAAGACACCTGTCATTGTCTTCGCGTGGCACGGTCTCCTCAAGTATGTCAAACAGTGAGGAGAAGTGAAAGAGTGTCTCTCGGAGTCGCATGCTGAAGTATGGGGCGTTGTAGGCCCCATTGACAACTCCATGGACAAACACATCAGGATTGATGTTCTTGATGAGATTGAGGACAATGTCCCTCGGACTGGTCGGCACCACTGTCTCGTCAGGCACGTTTCCCATCCGGTCCAAGCAGTTGACAATTACCGCGTCATCCTCCCTATCTAACTGTAATTCTTCGAGCTCTATAGTGTCCCATTTCTTTGCTATGGCGTTGAACTCAAACGGGACGTTGAATCTCTGGCAATACTTTTCGAGCCGAAGCCCGGTGGCATTGACCCGCTC